AATAGCATAATTTAATAGTTTCGATATCCTGATCAGGATCTTCAGGATGAGCGACTTTTTTTTCTCGATTAAAATGGTGAATTAAGTTCCGCCACCAAAAATTTCAGAATGTTCCTCTCTAAAATTTCAAATGTTCGCTTTTATTCCTTCGAATAACTACAATGCTTTTTAATATCCAGAGACAAGGCAGTGTCTTACACCAAGTACTCGTATGAATTGTTATATCCAGAGAGACGTGTGATTTATACTCACTTCAAAAAGTCGAATCAAATTTAAACTTCGCCCTCTTATCAAGAACCGATGCAATAGTATAATTAAATAGTTTCGATATCCTGATCAGGATCTTCCGGAAGAGCAACTTCTTTTTCTCGAATAAAATGGTGAATTCAGTTCCGCCACTAAAAATTTCAAAATGTTCCTTCGCCATAATTTCAAATGTTCGCTTTTATTTCATCGAATAACTACAATGCTTTTTTATACCCAGAGACACGGCAGTGTCCTACACCAAGTACTCGAAAAGATTGTTACATCCAGAGAGACAAGTGATTTAGATCGACTTCATACAGTCGAATTAAATTTAAACTTCGCCCTCTTATCAAGAACCGATGCAATTGTATAATTAAATAGTTTCGATATCCTGATCAGGATCTTCAGGATGAGCTACTTTTTTTTTCTCGATTAAAATGGTGAATTAAGTTCCGCCACCAGAAATTTCAAAATGTTCCTCTCTAAAATTTCAAATGTTCGATCTTGATTCCTTCGAATAACTACAATGCTTTTTAATATCCAGAGACAAGTCAGTGTCTTACACCAAGTACTCGTATGAATTGTTACATCCAGAGAGACGTGTGATTTATTCTCACTTCAAAAAGTCGAATCAAATTTAAACTTCGCCCTCTTATCAAAAACCGATGCAATAGTATAATTAAATAGTTTCGATTAAGGATGGACGACTTTTTTTTCTCGATTAAAGTGGTGAATTAAGTTCCGCCACCAAAAATTTCAAAATGTTCCTTCACCAAAATTTCAAATGTTTGCTTTCATTCCTTCGAATAACTACAATGTTTTTTATACCCAGAGATACGGCATCTTACGTACTTAGGAAGGATAAAGGGAGAGGAGGTAAGTATTGGATTTTTTTTTAAATCAGGTACTTATTTCCATGTTTTGGAAGGTCTCTTCAAGAAAAAAGTCCAGTCCTGGAATTTTTCATCGAATAGAGCCTTTTTCCAACTCTTATAATACACAGATATGCAAGAAATGGATTTAAATGAATTTGTTGAACGATGTGACTAATAATTGTAGTACTGCCTATTGAAGTATTGAGCCAGCACGAAATCATGGAATCGTTCATCAGTATTTTGTTCGATATTTTTTCACCAATCCGGTGAAAGTGTGCCGTACAAATTGAAAAGTTAACGAAAACCGACTCTGGATTTTTTTCCATAGCATGCCATCGTGTTGTGTGTCAGTAGAGGTGAGTTGCTGTTGAATTTCAGGCGATAATATCGAGACGTTCCTGAAATACTTATCGTTCATCAAAGTTTCGCCCCGAATTCAAATAATGCCCTGTATTTCTGTTACGAATAGGTAAAATATATTTTTCCACATATATATCAACTCACCTTGACTTCCTCTATCTACCATTAGGTTATGGCTGGTTAGTCATGACTCACCCTGTATAACCATTTTATGTACAGTGTGACCCACTTCTAATGGAACCACCCCTGTATCTCACGTAATCGTTGGATAAGGATCCGGAAATTTGCTGGAGCGAGAGATATACCAAAAATGCACTCTATGACCAAGTGGGGTCATCTTCAGTCATATACACTGCTCGCCAACAGCCATGAAACTACCCCAATTTCCGGAAAATGATATTAGGAGTCAAAATAGGTCGAAAATCACTTCAGATTTGGAATCAGGACGCCCAATTTACTAACTATTCAAATTTTTCCTGGAAAATTTTCAGTTCTGAAAAATGAAAACTTTATCTTTGGACTTTCTCTTCCTCCGGCAAATTTCAGAACCCTACCTCAATAATTACGTGAGATACGGTGCTTCCATAAAAAATGCGACAAAATTTCATTTTTCCGAACTGAAGATTTTCCAGGAAAAATTCGAATAGTTAGTAAATTGGACGTCCTGATTCCAAATCTGAAGTGATTTTCGACCTATTTTGACTCCTAATATCATTTTCTGGAAATTGGGGAAGTTTCATGGCTGTTGGCGAGCAGTGTATATCACTGAAGATGACCCCACTTGGTCATAGAGTGCATTTTTGGTATATCTCTCGATCCAGCAAATTTCAGGATCCTTACCCAACGATTAAGTAAGATACAGGGGTGGTTTCATCAGAAGTGGGTCACACACTGTATATTGTATACCGTGTATATGATGATTCCGATTTTATATGATGATGATCTGATAAATGTATTTATGTTTTGAATAGTTTTTACTACTTCTCGGTAACGCTGTTAACTGATGGAAGAAAGTATGCATCAAACAAAAAAGAATAATGAGACTTATCTTTAATATATTCCACATGGTGACACATGCAGGCATGCCTTTAAAAATAATAATATCCTAACCCTACCATCTATTCTCATATTTAAAACCCTCCTTTATGTAAAAAACAACTCACAAAGGTTCTTAAAACATTCTAATTATCATAGATATTCTACCAGGAATGCTCATGATTTTGATATCACTAGACACAATCTATCTCGTACTGAAAAATCCCCGGACTATTTGGGAATAAAACTCTACAATCATTAACCTCAAGAAATCAGAGAAATGAATTTTAGCAAGTTCAAAATCGTCTATAATGTGCATATTGACTCAGGGCGCTAATTATAACAAAAATGAGTACTATGAATCGAGCTTGCTATAACTGCATTAAATTGTATTAAATTATTGGTAGTGAGTATACACCCCAAATTGTCAATTGGTGTTCTTTTACTCAAATTGTTTATTGTCTTTTCTTTTTACCTCATATGTAGATTTTATTCTATTTACCATATGTGTAAATGTTTCTCCTTTTATCCAGGAGCGGACTGGACCTTTCAATCGCCCGGGCGAATTGCACCCTACCGGCCCACCTCCGGAGAAAATTTCGAAGCTATTATAGCTATTCGTATAATAGTAGAAGTGCTCAGCATATCATATGATGTTCTTCTTTCGAAAAATGTTTTTTGGTATCAACGTATTCTTGTCTGAAGAACACGAATTTCATAATGAAAATGTGAACAAACCGCTATTTATCGAGATATTTTACGAAAAAGTCCGAAATTCCGCTACATTTGCCACCCATCTTGGATATTCATTTACATTTACTTGTCCTTCTTTTTCCATCACTGGACAATTTATATACTCACGTTGTACTTCAATGACACATTTTATTTACTAAAATCAACAAGAAGTATGGTCTATTTGGTATTTTCCATATGCAGATGAGGTAAACAATAGTTTGGTTTCTCGCAATTTATTTTTACATTTGACCTCCTAGATTGAGACGACTAGTAGATTTGATTCAGATTTGATAATTGAATGGCCGTCCTGGTGTGATTGTTTTCCTCACTAAAACATGAGAAAAATACAAATAAACCATACTACTAACGTAAGTATATAAATTGTCCACTGATGGAAAAAGGACAAGTAGTTGAAAATGAATATCCAAGATGGATGGCAGAAGAAGGTGAAAGTTCGAAAATTTTCGTAAAATATCTCGATAAATAGCGGTTTGTTCACATTTTCATTGTGAAATTCGTATTTTTCAGACGAAAATACGTACCAAAAAAAATAATGGAAAAAAAACATTGCATGATAAGAGCACTTTCACCTATATAATTTCATTACATATTCTAGTAACATAAAGAAAAACGCAAGAAAAATATTGAAAAAATAGTTTTGATTAAAATAAAACTCAAACAAAAAAACTGTCGATAAAACATCAAATATACTAAAGAAAAATGAAATAAATAACATAATAAATAACATTTTATGAATGTAAAATAAAAATAAAATAAACAATATTTCTATGGTAGAGCACTTTTGCTACAAAAAGACTAGGAAAAATATTCTTCAACAACAAATAATAAAACATTAGCCGCATTAGAATTTGAAATTAAAAAACGAGTGAATCTCTCATGGATTAACACGATCGAATATGATATCGCCGCTTCCTATTGATTTAGATTTAGAGAATTTCTTATAGCCTATTCAAAGTACTGGACAGTCTTTGCCACTTCCAGGTAAAATCTATCAGTTGCATTTGCAAACTATTAAGGCTTATTCCATCAGCAGAATAATAATTTGTTACCTTTTCATAAACCTGCCTTAATGAGTTTTCACTTAATATTATTTGATCACCAGTAAATCTCGACGGATGAATTGTGATTTTCTAGAATTCACATTTAGAAACAATGCTTCTCTTTGCACCATTCAGAACGTTTGATGTATATTTCTTTGCACTATCTGTGTATATATTTTTCAACATTCAACATTTCTACCGGAGTACCGGCCCCAAAGGGCACCGGCCCATCGGGCGATCGCCCGGCCCCCCAGTCCGCCTCTGCTTTTATCCTAGGTGTAAGTCTTAAATTGTAATTCTCATTAACTTACGTGTAAATCATAATTTAAAATGGCTTGGCCTATGCTGCATACTTTTCAAAAATAATTTTTATAACTGACGTGTATATCCATTTTCGGATGGCTGCTGTATGCTAATACAAATAAACATTATTATTATTATTATTATTAATATGATCTATCCTATCTGTGCTACCCTCTCAAAGATGATCCAGTGGTCTTATCCCATCAGGAAGACAAGGATCGTGACAATATCATCGTGAAAATTGAAACATTCGTGCTTCAGAAGTTTCTCAAAATGCTGATGATATTATTTTCTCGATAGGAAAATACGAGGGTAGCGCTGTTTCTTAGCTCGGAAAGAAAAAATCTATGGAAGGGGTAAGCGGTAAAAATTATGCAAAGGAAATGTATAAATGTATTTTATTTCTTTTGTTTGGCTTTCGCAAAAACACTTCCACACAACACAAAATCAGCATTGCCAGCTGTGAAAACTAAATATAGTTTTAGTTTAGAAGTGCCAATCACAACATAGCTCATTTATGGCTTCCAAAGTCGTACTAGTCCATCTTCACTGTATGAACATATCAAATTTTGATGTGGGTGATGAGCTATACCGATCACATCTTTTTCATGTATCTGAAAAAAAAATGCGAAAACATGGAAAGAAAATTCAACTAAAAATGTTGCAGGTCATGAAAGCTTCATAGGAAAATATCGTTAATTCGAATCAAGATTTTCACTCCTCACGGAATGAAAAATCATCACATTCACAATTAGTTTGAGAATAAACACATTTAATTCGATAATAAAACGTTCAACACAAGAAAAATAAAGTGAAATTGAGAATAAACACTTTGAAAATAAGAACAAATACAATACTTGTTTCTAATTTTTGATGAGTTCAGTGAAAAACTGCGATGTGTACCTACCTAAGTATGTCTAATATCATTGTCAAAATTGGTATCTGGGGTGTTTGGGGCTCGGAGATTACTCATGATTCCTTCGTTAAAATTAGGAAATTCAAGATGGCGGATCCAATATGGCGGACGAATTTTGAAATTATAATCCGATTCTCTTCAAAATTTGTATCTGTGGGTTTTCGGATTCTTTACCACAACAAACCTCTGGGACTTGTTTCTAGTGGGGTTGTAGATTGCAAATCAATTGATGAACTATGAAAATTTCATCCGAATCGGCTAGCGTTTTCAAGATATTAATAAAAAACTATTTTTTTTTCAAATTTGGACCCCTAACAACACAGGAATGTCCTAGGTACGGCCCTTTTTTGTCCCGCGGTACAAGTACATGATTAAGGCATCCAGAAGATGTCCCGCAGTGGATGTCCAGTGGACATCTCACCCGGTACATCCCTAGGTTATCCTATTTGTGTCCCTGGAATATCTGATATCCCTTCACATCAGAGTCATTGAATTTCATGAAAATATTGAGTTGAATTTTTCTTACTACCACAGTTTTTATTCTCAATTTTGAATGTGTTTCGAATAAAGTTAATCCCAACTTGAAGTTGAAAAAGGGAAAGATGTAGACATTTTCACATATTTGATACACACACAGTTGCCAAGGATGACGAGACTTACATTCAGAGTCCTTTCGAGTTTTCCTGAATTCGTCGAAAAGCAGTAAAGGACCATGTCCTCGCCGACACAATAAATCCAGTCCCCTCTGGGAGAAACAGTCGAGCAAACAAAATCACCACCTTCACGTTTACCGCTGGCAAAAGATCTTACAATCTAAAAAAATTGAGAAAAATCGTTACTACCAATCTCGGTATGCAATTGGTAAGAACGAAAAACTACTCTTGATATACATACTTCATTCACAATTATTTGTATAAAATCATGAAAACTATAATGAGGAAGACCATTGAGGTAAGAAATCTTTCAATCAATGAATCATGATTCACATTTAATAATTACAATCAATATTGAATGTTAAAGTTAGAGGAAATCGAATCAATAGCGATCTTTCAAAAGCCAGATATGAAGGTGGAACCGTGACGTATTATTCCCGAACTGTAGCTATCTCTCTCTGACAACTTGCCATGACCAGCTCAAGGACAATGGGCGTGTTGGGATTGATACGTCACACTGCAATCAAACCAATGGATTGACACCATTTCTCAAGTGTGTTTTGAAATGAACATATTTTAATTTATTTTTTTCATCGTCCTAGCATGAATTAAAAGATTCAAGATTATATTTCCTGTTAGTTTTTTGGTATAGAGCTCAAGATGATGTCGCTTTAAAAGTTCAGTGGTCTCCCTCATTCTAAAATTGGAATTTATCTCAGAGTTTATTGAAAATATCAAGGTAGTCCGCGAGGGGTAAATCATGTGAGAAGTCCAGTGGACCCGAGACGGTAAATCCTTGTAAAGTCCGGGTAATCCTTGAGAGAAGTCCTGGATTTCCTTGAGGAGTCTGAGAATTCCTTGAGACATCCGGAAATTCTTTGAGGAGCCTATTCATTCCTTAGAGTCCAAGAATTTCTATGAAAGTTGAGTCCGGTATTATTTGGGAAGCCTAAGGTTCCTTTGGTATCCGGAGAATTTCTCACGAAGTCCGGGATTTCCTTGAGAAGTCCAGGATTTCCTTGAGAAGTCCGGGTCATCGTTGGTGAGTCCGGGTATTCCTGTAGAGTCTGGGAATTTTTTGGGATGTTCGGGAATTCATTAAGTCCAGGTCTTTGGGAAGCCCCTGTATGGTGAATCATGTAGGAAGTCCAGTGAAACCGAGACAAAATTTTCTTTTGCAGTCCGGGTTTTTTTGAGAAATCCAGGAAATTCTTGGGGAGTTCGAAGCCACGTGAAACTCCTTCAGTGAACCCATGACGAAAATTTTTTGAGTCCGGAATTTTCTTGAAAAATCAGGACATGTTTTTAAACTTTTTATCATTGAGAGTTCAGGAAATTACAATAGAATTCTGGGAATTTCTTTGGAAGATCAAGAATTCTCAGGGAAACTCTGAATTCCTTGGAAAGTCAGGATTTTATTTGAACATCCGGGAGTTCCTCAAGAATAAGTCCGGAAATTCCTTCGAAAGTCCGGGATTTCCTTGGAAAGTCCAAGAACTCCTTGGTCAGTTTGAGAATTGTTTGAGAAGTGCCACTTGCCAGACACTTTCAAAATTCCAAGAGTGGTGTCAAGTAGGATCCTTGATAGGTCTGGGAACTTATCGGGAACTCCTTGTAAAGTCAAAGTATATTTGGAAAGTTTGGGAATCCTCCGGAAGTCTGGGAATCCTTGAGAAGTACAGACATCAAATGGGAATATGAATTTGTTTTGAAAAGTTTGGGGATGGCGAGAGAGACGGAAATTCATAGAAAAAACCGGCAAACTTTGATAGTTCTGGGAATTCCATTAGAAACCTGGGAAATCTTCAGGAAGAACGGGATTCTTCTTTTCCTTGGAAAGTCAGTTTTTTTTTTTTCAGGAAGTTGAAATTTCATTAGGAACTCAAGGAAGTCTCCGCTGAAAAGTCACAGTAATTCCTTTGACAAAGGTCCATTAAACTAAATTTCAGTCTGTGATTTACCCCTTATGTATTAGTTTAGAAACAAAATTCTCAATATTTTTTATGCTACAGATATAGAAAACAATGTCACCTGTCCTTGTAAATTCACTAATGAAACTGTATTGGTCCTATTGCATACAACAAAATGTTCTGGATTTTTAGCAAAGTTATGGATATTATTCACAGTTCTGTCACTAGATCCTAAAGATTTGAATGTACTTATACATTCAGTGGTTTTTATACTCCAAACTTTGACTGTACCATCAGAGGAAGCACTAAAGAATAATATCAACATTATAAATAATTTTCAGCAAATGTTTATTTTTTCACCTGAGGATATTATGCCCATCTTGTGTAAAAATCACTTCATTCACAAAAGAAGTATGTCCTCTGAACTCTTTCAGTGTTTTTCCAGATTTCAGTCCATGTATCCTGAAATAACAGTTTCACCTTAAACTCAAGCTATAAGTTAGGTGGTAAAGAAAATAATGCAAAAAAATCATTGAATTGAAGAAATAAAAAACCTTATGGAGTGGTCAAAGGATGCACTTAAAACTTGGCTGTTATCCCTAGAGAATTGCAGACAGGTGATACCCTTGGAATGTGCCTTTTCAATTTTCCTCAAGCACTGTCCTGAACTGATTCTCCACACTTTGACACGACCAGCTTGAGAACCACTCACCAACATCTCACTGTCTCTTGAGAAAGCCATACACAGAACTGCATGTTCCATCATCATGAAATTTTCCTAAAAGGAAAATAACTGGAATTTTCTTAGCCAATCAGAAGTAGGCCACTAGGGGCAAACTGTGGTGGAATTCTGGTGAAGAAACAACTGGAATTCCCTAGAATTCCTTGAAGTTCCTTGTGATACCCTAGAATTTCTTGGGTGAAGTATGGTATAATTCTAGTCTACAAACAACTGGAATTCCCTTGAATTCCTTGGAATGTTTCAGGACTCTTTGGAATTTCTTGGTTTGTCTTGAAAAGAGGGTATCAAAGTGAAACTTGCAATACAAAAACATGAGAAACCAGTTTTTAATAAAGATGATAAAATGGTATTTCCTAAAATTGATTTCAATAATTTTGGAAAACAAAAAAGTTAAGAAGGAAACAGATCTCAAAAAGGTATTGAAGCTATTAAAGGAACAAGATAAAAAAGTGGAAGAGATGAAACAAAGTGGTGGAATTGGAAAGGCTGTAGAAGTTAAAGAAAAAGCAGCATGGAAAAATGCATTAGCTAAGGCAGAAGGTCAAAAGGTTAAAGATGATCAAATTCTACTAATGACTAGAGTGAAGAAAAAGAACAAAAACAGAGATCTAGCCAGAAGAAATGGAAAAGAGGATAGAAGTTGTTGAAAAAGCAAAAGAAGAAAGACAGAAAAAGAGAACAGATAACATTTCAAAGAGGAAGGAAGACAAGAAAATTGATGAATCAAAGAAAGCTGTGAAGAGGCAAGATCATTGCAGGATTTTAAAATGTATACTACTGAAATTCAATAATGAATTGTAAATACATATATTCCAGATGAAATGAATATTTAGTATTATTATGTAGTCTATTTTTACTAGGAATCTTCCTCTAATGTAGTTTAATAATGTCTTTGATGAAACTGAAAATAACAGGAATTTTCTTAGCCAATCAAAAGTAGGTTACTAGGGGCAAACTGTAGTGGAATTCTGGTGTAGGAGCATCTGAAATTCCATGAAAATTTTTGGAATCCATGGGAATTGCTTGGAAATTCTTGGAATTCCCTAGAATTCCTTGGAGTTCCTTATAATACCCTGGAATTCCTTGGGTGAAGTATGGTATAATTCTGGTCTACAAACAACTGGAACTCCCTTGAATTCCTTGGAATTTTTCAGAACTCTTTGGAATTTCTTGGCTTGTCTTGGAATTCTCTGGAATTCCTTATAATTTATTGAGTGATGTGCAGTATGATTCTGGTTTACAAATGACTGGAATTATTTGTGAAATTGAAATTTGGTGTACACAATTTTGACCACAGTTTGTCCCTTGGTCCGCCAGTTGTTGTGTATTTATTTTTTAACAGAAAAATCTGATGAGAAATCAGAAATCAAAGCTGAAAAAGAGGGTATCAAAGTGTAACTTGCAATACAAAAACATGAGAAACCAGTTTCTAATAAAGATGATAAAATGGTATTTTCTAAAATTGATTTCAATAATTTTGGAAAACAAAAACAAGTTAAGAAGGAAACAGATCTCAAAAAGGTATTGAAGCTATTAAAGGGACAAGATAAAAAAGTGGAAGGGATGAAACAGAGTGGTGAAATTGGAAAGGCTGTAGAAGTTAAAGAAAAAGCAGCATGGAAAAATGCTTTAGCTAAGGCAGAAGGTCAAAAGGTTAAAGATGATCAAATTCTACTAATGAAGAGAGTGAAGAAAAAGGAACAAAAACTGAGATCTATCAAGAAGAAATGGGAAAAGAGGATAGAAGTTGTTGAAAAAGCAAAAGAAGAAAGACAGGAAAAGAGATAGATAGATAACATTTCAAAGAGGAAGGAAGACAAGAAAATTAATAAATCAAAGAAAGCTGTGAAAAGAGGCAAGATCATTGCAGGATTTTAAAATGTAAAATACCTACTACCTAGGACCTAGGGTCTACTACCTATATACTACTGAAATTCAATAATGAATTGTAAATACATTATATTCCAGATGAAATGAATATTTAGTATTATTATGTAGTCTATTTCTACTAGGAATCTTCCTCTATTGTAGTTTAATAATGTCTTTGATGAAACTGAAAATAACTGGAATTTTCTTAGCCAATCAAAAGTAGGCTACTAGGGGCAAACTGTGGTGGAATTCTGGTGTAGGAACAACTGGAATTCCATGAAAATTTTTGGAATCCATTGGAATTGCTTGGAAATTCTTGGAATTCCATAGAATTCCTTGGAGTTCCTTATAATGAAGATTTTATTTATTTTGCCTGAATCAGTAGGTATTGAATTTGAATTTATTCCCTATCTCAGGTACATAGTTAACATTTCTCAATTTCATTAGTTTATGTTATTACCTAACTATACTAAATATTATCAACACAATGGATTTTGAAATCTGTGTGTGTTGATTATTAATCAACCCTATTTCAAGAAACTATAGATAAATAAATATATATAATAAGAATGCTGGACAAAAACAGTGCCTGATAAATCCTTGAAGGATTTGTGTGAGCACATACCAATAATATATTTTATGTTTTAGGTACCATGTACAATTTATATTATTATTTTATTATTCATAGCAATTTTTGAAGAATTCCAACGGATTTGAAATGTTCTACAACATCACAAGTCTACAATTTCATCTGGGTATGATGATAATAGTATACAACTAAACTAGTAGTTGAAGATGCTGGCAAAGGAATGTATACCTCTGGCAGATCCATTCTGATAAATCCTTGGCTATACTTTTGAATTGTCTATTTTTCAAATTTTGTGGTAGTAAATTTATGATTTTGGGTGCTGTATATGAGATGTGTTTTTGTATTGCTGAAAATTTGGCTATTGAGGGAATAACATTTTAATTAGTTATTGCACCTGTATACCCTGGAATTCCTTATAATTTCTTGAATGATGTGCAGTATGATTCTGGTTTACAAACAACTGGAATTATTTGTAAAATTGAAATTTGGTGTACACAATTTTGACTACAGTTTGAGGTGAATAAGTCCATTTAAAACTTCTGTCATTTTGATGTTATCATGGCTAAAGCTAAACCCCAGGGTAAACCAGTTTCTTTTCAGATATTTGTAATGACTAGAACACTTGAGATTGTCAATGAATTTCTTTCTGTTGATAATTTTGTAATGTGAGGAGTTCCACCATGCTCAAGTGAGGGTATTTAATTTTTTTACTTACTTGTGCCTGATATTTCAAATCTTTTCTTATTTTACCAGTGGTAAAATTCCACACCTCAATGATACCATCCACACTACCAGTAATAAGATACTGTCCATCAGGTGAAAACCTAGCACATTCCACATGTGATTTTTGTCCAAATTTAATCTGTTTTGCCATCTGAGTAGGGAAATTCTCCTCTTCTTGTTCCCTTACAGCAGCTTTGCCCCTGAACAAATCTATAGTTGTACCTGGTGGTAATAGACCTTGATGCTGCTGCCACTTGAGTGCTTGTCCTAGAAGTGCTAGCAAACGAGAGGAGGGCACCACTGAGACTTCTCCTGAGAGGGCATGTGCTATGGCAGCACGTCTCTTCTCCTTGCTGCTACCATCAGGGTAAGCCTCCCTGGGGTCAAAGTAGGATCTGGCTAGTAGGTTCTCCAAGTGTATGTATCTCTCTGGTTCATTTTGTTTCAACATTATCATTGGATCAGTTTGTCTGAGTAAAGACCTGGCTGCACCTAATTCTCGCAGTTCTATCAATTCCAATACAATTTGCTCATATAAATCAATCAGTTTTTTATCAGGCAATTTCAATGATTGTATAGCTTTTAGCACAGTGTCCCAATGACCATTATTAATGTCTGCACAAAATCCATCTACACTGTCAACTGTATTTAAAGTTACACCAGTTTCTTCCTATAACACAATCAAAACAAACATAAATGATGATAATATGTCAATAATTTTTACATGATATCTCCACTGATACAATGATGAAATTTGAATTACCTGCAAAGCATGGAGTGTTCTGAATAAATTAGATTCCTTCAGGTATTGTTGGATGAGACGGATTACGCTGAAATACAAATGTTTTGAATTGGTTGAGCCAATTCTGTACCATTATACTCACTCAGCTGATTCAATTTCTATAGACATTAGGAATATATAAAAGCCTATTTACTAGTGAGAGATTAATGGGAATATAGCATATGTAATTAACACCTTACTATTATAGCTTTGCCATTCAAATTATTATCAGAGAATAGTAATTAATTAATTAATAATTAACATAAAAAGACCAAAACTCCACAACCCACAACCTACTGTGCCACAACTGCCACAACATAAGTGCATAAATTCATGAACATGAAAGAATGACAATGACACTAATGACAGTAATGACAGTAATGATTATGACAATTGACAAGAATGATAATTGATAAGGTTAAGTCATGGTGAAAAAGAAGGGACATTCTGTGATTCTATGAAGTGGAGGCCGTGGAATCTGTGGAATCAAGGCAAAAATAAACAGGTCGCCCATCGACAGGTCACATGGAACGATTGCTAATCTCATATTGTGTGTTCTGTGCTTTTGTGTTCACTGTTCTGTCACTTCTGTCTGTTCTGTTAGTTCTGTTCTGTGTCCCAAATAAATAAAAATAATAACATTTGAGAAATTTGAAATATTTGTTTGGGTTTTTCGGTTTTTCTTAGAGTTATGCAATTAATAACACATAAAAAATTCGATTTAAAGACAGTGAAAGAATGCCTGATAGCCGAAAGCAAATTCATTCAAGATATTCTGATCAGAGCGGGAGTTCCAGAAAGAATAGGTAAAAATAGATACCATGTTTTTTTGAGGCTAGAATCTAGAAACACCATGTGCTTTTTGTATTGAAATTTTCACAAATTGTATTCACTCAGATTCAGAAACATTGGGTCATTTTAAGCAACTCCCAATTCATTGTTTAATACTCCATTTCATATGTTTCTCTGTTTTGAAATGAAATATTTGCTCCTTTTGAAATTCATAGACAAGATGATTTTCTTGCAGATCCCATAGATGAAGATGGACAAAATGAAGAACAAGCTGAATCAACTAGAACTCATCTACCTGCTAATCAAAAGAAAACATTGAGGGCAAAATCTTTGATGGAATTACAGCAGAGGTTGGAAGCTTTCAACAATAAGAAAAAATTATCTTATAAAGAAAAGTTGACAAAAAAAGGTCTTAAGAATAGGATGAAGAAGAAAACACAAAGGACAGAGAGAAATGCACAAGCAAAGTTGAAGAATGCCGTGAAGTTAACAGAAAAATCTGAAGAGAACTCAGAAATCAAAGCTGAAAAAGAGGGTATCAAAGTGGAACTTGCAATACAAAAACATGAGAAACCAGTTTTCAATAAAGATGATAAAATGGTATTTTCTAAAATTGATTTCAATAATCTTGGAAAACAAAAAAAAGTTAAGAAGGAAACAGATCTCAAAAAGGTATTGAAGCTATTAAAGGAACAAGATAAAAAAGTGGAAGAGATGAAACAGAGTGGTGAAATTGGAAAGGCTGTAGAAGTTAAAGAAAAAGCAGCATGGAAAAATGCATTAGCTAAGGCAGAAGGTCAAAAGGTTAAAGATGATCAAATTCTACTAATGAAGAGTGTGAAGAAAAAGGAACAAAAACAGAGATCTAGCAAGAAGAAATGGGAAAAAAGGATAGAAGGTGTTGAAAAAGCAAAAGAAGAAAGACAGAAAAAGAGAACAGATAACATTTCAAAGAGGAAGAAAGACAAGAAAATTAATAAATCAAAGAAAGCTGTGAAAAGAGGCAAGATCATTGCAGGATTTTAAAATGTAAAATACCTAGGGTCTACTACCTATATACAACTGAAATTCAATAATGAATTGTAAATATATTATATTCCAGATGAAATGAATATTCAGTATTATTATGTAGTCTATTTTTTCTAGGAATCCTCCCCCTACTGTAGTTTAATAATTTCTTTATCTGATACAAGTATAGGTATTGTTTGTTCTATATCATTTTTTAATATTAAAAGGCAAGAATTCAATCAGCGATTTGAATTTATTAGTCTCTTGATGGAAGTGTTTGTGAAACAGTTATATGGTTCCATCCAGGGATAAACACTAGATTTTTGACATTTGTTGTTTTTTAGGTTATATGTTATATTGAGGTCATTGGCGTATCATTCGTAATTTATATATGAATTCCTGATTCAACTATACCAGAGATTAGCGTCTGGTAACTTATCTGTGACTATACCAAGATATAATTGAACAATCCTCTAGTTTTAGAGTTTACTACTCCAGCATAATCTTCTCAACTGCTCCATAATTAGTATTGAGTAAATTTAGGAACTCTAGTCACCATAAGTATACTCTGGTCAGTTCACTTGAATGTTCTGTTCGGTTCGTATATGGACTGGATGGTTTTCTCCGATTGAGTGGCAAGTATCAAATACTGCTTCTCTGATCTGCAACAGAACATCACATATCAATCAAAGTACATTTATATGGATGTTGAATCTGGGACATACCTGAATAATATATTCAACGTCTGTAACTAGATTGCTACATATATCGGCTTAATTTCCGTATAGTGTTTTTTCCAGTAGGCATCTTCCACAATTCCAATTACGTACGTGGGTTATATTAAGGACCTTGAAAGCCAAACCAATGCTCGGATCTGAAACTAAGGATCAATTTCGAATTTGAATCGTGAGACCTACATAGAATATTGGATATTTTCAACATTGGTAACTGGAACGCGATATATTTATGTAATTCATCAATTCATCAACTATCTCAATGAAGACGAGACAGGCAGATAAACAACAATTTTCTCTGCAATGAAGAACACTGTATATACCTAACCCACCATGCGCCTACCTCCTTTGCAGAGAGGGTTTATAAACGCCGAGTTGATACTCTCCCCTCGTAAGGGTACCTGTCGTGTTTCCATAGAGACATAAAGGTGAATATCTGTCTATCTGTCTGCTTGAGAATCTGAAAAGGTAATCAATAATCAATATTTCGCCTTCCGTACGAATATGATGATCTGAATTCTGTAAAGTATACTCTGGTCAGTTCTCTTTGCGGATCTTCTGTTCGGTCCGTATTTACTGGCTGGTGGCCGTGAGCGTAGAGTCGCTGGCTGTCGCCCAGGCGGTCCGGGTTCGATCCCCGGCGCGAGCACTGAATTAATTTTCGGTAGTTTCGTTGGGCGGGAGGAGATAGGTGGCCAACCCAACATTCTTGGTACCTAGATATCAATCCTTTGGACTGTCCACGGTTACCAGCCGAGTAGTGCTTCGGATGACACTTAAAAAGCTAAGGTCCCCGTCTTCTTAACTCACACAAGTCTCTGACTTTCGAGGGTTGCTTTGCAACTAAGCTGGCGGTTAAAAACACTTTTAAAAACACTTTTAAACACTTTTTTTTTTTCTCCGATTTAGTGGCAAGTATCAAACACTGCTTCTTGGATCTGCAACTAAACATCACATTTGAATCGAAGTACATTTGAATCAGAAAATATCTTTAGAGGAAATACATAGATGTTGAATCTGAGACATACCTGAATAATATTTTCAACGTCCGTAACTAGATTGCTACATATCCGCTTTCTTTCCGTATAGTGGTTTTTCCAGTAGGCATCTCCCACATTTCCAATTACGTGCGGGTTATATTAAGGTCCTTAAAGGACAAACAGTGTGCTGCTCACATCTAAAACTAAGTATCAATTTCAAATTTGAATCGTGAGACCTACATAGAATATGAATTTATGAAAAGTCTGGATATTGTTCTCAACATTCATAACTGGAACGCGATATATTTTTGTAATTCATCAATTCATCAACTATCTCAATGAAGACGAGACAGGCAGATAAACAACAATTTTCTCTGCAATGAAGAACACTGTATATACCTAACCCACCATGCGACTACCTCCTTTGCAGAGAGGGTTTATAAACGCCGAGTTGATACTCTCCCCTCGTAAGGGTACCTGTCGTGTTTCCATAGAGACATAAAGGTGAATATCTGTCTATCTGTCTGCTTGAGAATCTGAAAAGGTAATCAATAATAATCAATATATCGCCTTCCGTACGAATATGATGATCTGAATTCTGTGAAGTATACTCTGGTCAGTTCTCTTTGCGGATCTTCTGTTCGGTCCGTATTTACTGAATGGTTTTCTCCGATTTTTAGTGGCAAGTATCAAACACTGCTTCTTGGATCTGCAACTAGACATCACATTTGAATCGAAGTACATTTGAATCAGAAAATATCTTAGAGGAAATACATAGATGTTGAATCTGAGACATACCTGAATAATATTTTCAACGTCCGTAACTAGATTGCTACATATCCGCTTTCTCTCCGAATAATGGTTTTTCTAGTAGGCATCTCCCACATTTCAATTACGTGGGTTATATTAAGGACGTTGCATGCCAAACAATTCCAAATATGAATCGTGAGACCAACATAAAATATAAATCTATGAAAAGTCTGGATATTGTTTTCAACATTCTTAACTGAAACGCGATATAATTTTATAATTCATCAATTCATCAACTATCTCAATGAAGACGAGGCAGGCAGATAACAATTTTCTCTGCAATGAAGAACACTGTATATACTTAACTCACCATGCGTCTACCTCCTTTGCAGAGAGGGTTTATAAATGCCGAGTTGATACTCTCCCCTCGTAAGGATACCGGTCGTGTTTCAAAGTATTCTCTGGCTATTTTTCTTTGCGGATTCTTTGTTCGATTCGTCGTGACTGGATGATTTTCTCCGATTCAGTGACAAGTACAACACTTTGCTTCTCAGATCTGCAAATAAACATGACATCAAATATCGAAGTCCATAAAAATTAATACTGATTTTCATGAGAAGCGGAACATATGGATGTTGAATTTGAGACATACCTGAATAATATTTCCAACAATCGTAACAGGAACGCGATATATTTCTGTAATTCATCAACCCATCAACTATCTCAATGAAGACGAGGCAGGCAGATAAACAAGACTTTTCCCTGCAATGATACTGCAATACTGCAAAAATGATCTTTCATTTCCACTCATGAAGCAACGTTGTCAAGTCACCAATTATAATCAATTCATCATAGAGATTAGAGTCCTGTTGTTGGATAAAACAAGAGATAAAACATAATAAGAGTAAGCCATGATATTATAGATCATTCTTGACTTTTTCGAGCAACCAGCATGTCTGTATATCTCTTGTACCCTATAACAAAATATCATGTTGATGTTGAAGACTTGGCAACAATGTGCTGAAAGCTGAGAACTGACAAGGAACCGCCTACAATTCGTGCGCCGGGTTGTCACGTTTACCCTCAAATATCCTCTAGTGTGAATTAATATAATATTATTAATATTAACACAAATGTATTATAAACAATAAGCCACAACAGATGAGGGAATATTTTGAGACAATTGATTTTTATGTCTAATTAGGAATATAACCAATACAAAATTGAGAATTTTTGAACTATTGAATAACTAATATTTCCTAAGTTCCAATCGTATTTCAAGATATGGCAACTGTCCTAAGGTTTGTCCAGACTCACAAAATCGTGACGTCAGTTTTTACTCGTGGTAAATTTTTAGCCGTTTGAAAATTACCGTGGCATTATTGTTGATCTCAGCACCTTGAAATCGAATGAAGAATTTATATGAAAATTGAAAGTTATTTGAGTGATGATTCTATTTAAAAAAAAAACAGTCAACTCGCCTATTTCATTTTTGTGGATGGTTCCATGGCTGTTAGCAAGCAGTGTATATCACTGAAGATGATTCCACTTGGTCATGGTGTGTACTTTCAGTATATATATCTACCGTTCCTGCAAATTTCAGAATCCTTACTTAACAAATACGAAAGATACAGGGATGCTTCCATTAAAAGTGAGACGACACTGTGCAATGTTCATCTTGAGTCAATTCTGATTTTCATATCTCATCATCGGAAGTTTCATCTTCAAAATGAGCCTGAGATTTTAAAAATAGGTTGGGAGGGAAAAAAGTTATGACTGCAAAACATAAAAGTTGATTTTTCGATATCACTCTGTAAGTAAAAGGGATAATAAGACAATTCGAAAAATGTCTGAAGGTAATCTGCTGTCAAAGTTGAAAAACAATCTTTTTTCGTTCATTTGGGATCCTTTAGAACATTCAAAAATTTCTCACAGTTTTAGGTGACATCCTGTTGCGAGTTTATATGAAGGACCTCATGTTCTTAAGAAGTAGGAGCTTATAGCTGAAGGACTGGGCTAGCGAACAGTGTGAACCAAATTCAAATTGTTCAAAGCAGAAAAAAAGTTATTCATATTTCAACAGGGGGCTGAAATTTTATGACTAATCACCTCATCCAGGAATGCGGGCTGGATATAAATATAATATACCATAGGAAATTATACAATTAGTACAGGGTATTTCGAGACAAATTTCCAATCTGAATATATGGATAATAATAAGAGTTTGACAATTCGTGTGTGACCATTTCAAAGAAATTTTGACGACTTCGAAAATTTCTCTTTGAAAATTGGCAGTTGCGGTACCTAGTCTAGCACAGCGATACGGATTGACAAATTTTTTCGGGTTTGTTCTAATCGCAAACATTTCTCACAAAAAATACGTATGTGTATATGAAAATGAATCGAAGGAGTACCTACTCTAAGATTTCTAGATGTATCGAGTGGTATCGGCTCAAAATACATATGAGATTATACTATCACTCATAATAGAAAAATAAAAAAATAAAAAAAAAACTCACCAGTGTGAAAGAGGTAAAAAATGATTTCTTCTATTCCATTGTTTGAAATTTTCGATCTTCCACAGTACGAAACACCAGAACAACACACGATCGCGATACGAATTATTGGATGAGGAATACAAAAACACATTACTATCACTCATTTTTTAGGGAACACTAATTAATTAATTAATTCCTTTCGCGTATTTTTCAATGTCGATCACAAAATTCGACCGTACGTGATGACATCTAATATAAAACTGTCTTGATTCACCAGTTCACCACCTGGTCCCGAATGAATGACTAATGAGTTGAATCATGCTGTTAATCGATTCATTTCCGAACAAATGATTTATCTATGACTAATGATGATAATGGAATTATACGACGGGGGGAGTCTATAACTAATGATGATTATAAGGGGGAAAAAGAGATATATATAGTATACAAAATATAAGATGGAGTATTGAACACGGATATACTGACAGTATTATTTTCGGAAGTCTAATGATTTAAAAAAATTTAACCTAGGCTGAAAATATAATCCTTCCCAAAATATTTAGATGTTTTGTTAACTGGAACGAAGAGGAAAATAATGAACAATGTGGTCTACTTTTTATAAGCGCGCATCCAAATTGACATTTGGTACAATAATAATAATAATAATATGTTTATTCCGACAGAATCAGAATACAATGGAAGAAATAATGATAGCAAGTTAACATTAGGTAAATAAACATTAGAAAACCCACAGAAGCAGCAAATGTTGCTTGTACGTGGTGAAAAAGTATGAATTTCGTTTGACGAGCTATTATTGAAAATACTATAAGATTAATAATTTTGGAATATGAAACTAAGTAGGTACAAAAATTCAAGACTGTAAAATATTTATACGCAAAGTAATCAAAATGGATAGATATAAAAATAAATGAAATGAAAGAACTCCGGTGTTAAACAATCACAAAAACTTCGGAGACGTAATATATAAGTATATAAAATTACTGACAATACTAAAACAAACAATTTCGGAATATGAATGTACGTACAAAAATTCGAGAGTGTAAAATACTTAATTAATTTGTGTGTGTTAAAATGTAATGAGCAGCCCTCGAAAATATCTAAAATAATTGACAAATTGTTCTATGGAACGAAATCCATCGATAGTTTACCTAATTCGGCTCTAATTAAGTTGAGATTTGAGGACTGATTATCTTTTTGTAATAAAATTGTATTTTTTGTATAACGAGTTCAATAAAAATTCAATTTTTCGAATTGGATGCGCACTATTAAAAAAAAGAAGATTTTTGTTTTGCCTGAAGACGGATCTGGATTCTGAATTCGATTCAAATTTAGTTTTGATGAGAAATATGAGTTGAATATACCTAAGTATGAATCGATTATACACAGTGGTTCAAAAGTTATGACCTGACCATAGATGAAGATTATGCCAAGATCAAGATTATGCCAAGATCAAGATTACTTTGTGTATCACAGTTATTGAAGATGGTAAATTCTTGAAAGATCCAGTTTCGAACAGGAAGCACGAAAATCAGAAGAAAAAGTATTCCTTGATCGGAGAAAATACAACGAACGGTACGAAACCTACACGGCGATATGTCAGGACGAGCTTACACTATCCCTATATCGAGAATAAGTCGGGAGAAATCCATGAAAATATGCATGTGATCAGAATTTTGAATCTTGAACCACCCTGTAGCTGTTCCGATTAAATATCAGTAAATAGTGAAACAAAAGTTGAGATAGGGACATGTGAGCCGTTTTGACCGATATTGAATATTTTCGACACAAAAAAATCCTAAAGTTGAAAATATCGATTTTGAACACCATATATCTCTGTAATCATTTTCGATAGATCTCAAGTATGATATATAGATGAAATTACCTCTTCAGTGAGAATCTCAATATGCGATAAAATACAGGGTGTTCCGTTCGAAATATCAATGTTGCTACTACTTTCTAGTAGAAGCGGCAACACTGCATTGTCGAACATATCTTAAATGAAGAGAACGTGTACCAAAATATGAGCATGCACATTTTCATGGATTTCTCCCGACTGATTCTCGATTTTAAGATAGTGTAAGCTCGTCGTGACATCCCCTCTGTATAGGGTTATTGAAGTTGAATGAATACAGAGATATATGAGGAAAAATTGAGATAATTTCTCTGCACTCACCAGCGTGAAAAAAGTGAAGCTTTGATGAAACAACACGATACACTAGAACAACATACAATCCCGATATTATTATTGAGTCGAATGAGGAATACAAAAACACTATATACGAATCAATACGATCACTCAGTTTTTAGGGAACATTCAGTTTGGAACGATAAATAATTCCTTTCGCGTATTTTTCGATGTCGATCACAAAAGTCGACCGCACGTGATGATATCTAATATAAGACTGTCTTGATTTACCACCTGGTCCCGAATGAATGACTAATAAGTTGAATCATTCTGCTAACCGATTAATTTCCGAACAAATAAAAATGATTTATCTATGACTAATGATGATAATAAAATTGAACGGGGGGAGGGAGATATTTTGTATACAGGTGCTATTATTTTTCGAAAATCACTAACGATATGGAAGAATTTTACATAGGCTGAAAATATATTTTTTCCAAAAATCTCGTGATTATGGAATAACTTAACATACAATATGTAGTGAAGAGGTCGAACCCTTTCCATTACCAAGAAATGAGTTACCACAGTGACATACAGGCAAACAATTTTTGTTTAAAAAATATTGGTCACACACGTAGTGGAAAGCCTAATAACACACAACCGAGCATCCTGGACATCCATAGGATAACCACTTTGTGTACACAGGACATCCTATGGATGTCCATATAGGATATCAGCTGTCCACATTTCAGGACATACATGATGGACATCCATTCGGAATCCATGATGGACATCCATTTGACAAAAAATCATAAAGTTCGACCCCGGCGAAAACCCCCAGATACCAAACTTTAATAGAATCAGATTATAATTGATTAGAAATGTCTTTCGCCATATTCGATCCGTCATCCTGAATTTTACAATTTTCACGAAACAATCATTATTTCCTACCCCGAAAACCGCCAGATACCAATTTTGAATAAAATCGGATCATAATTACAAAACTCGATCCCCATAATATGATCTTCCTCAACAAGTAAATACTTGAAATTTTCAATGATTTTCTGTAGCGCCCATGGACGTGACGTGACAGCAATGTCAGGAATGCCAGTAGACAAAACTAAGATCATTAAAAAAGAATGCAGCCATGATTTGTCCATTTCAATTTCCGTCAATTTCCATCAGTCTCGTGATGGAAATTGACGTTAAAATTTCCATCATGGGACCTTAAAATTTATCATATTTGAAAGTTACCAGGTGAATTAACAGTTATTTTAAAGTTTTTATATCAATCTTGCACTCTTGCACTCATGCCACTCATGCTTTAATTCATGTGAATTTGAATTCCTGTTTGGTTGACAATAATGATAGTTGACTTGACATCTGTCATCTATGCAATGTTTGAAGTTTAGACTGACCAGTGGCCTTTCACTCCTGTCAGTCCTGTCAGACTGATGCTTCCATGACTTTTGGTTCGTGGAAGTTTGTGAATTTGTTCTGTTCTGAAGGTTCTGAATAATGTAAAATTAGAAATTAGTTTATTATTGTGATATCATATGGGCTGGGCATTCATGTATTCATGAAGATAATAGTTTTCTATAAAATATGAAAATTATACAGAAAATATAATGGGTAAGCAAATTCCTCATTATCTCCTGTTATTGATAACCCAAGCTCAATATTTGTTTGTTTTCCAGTAGAAGTTATTGTAGAATATGATTATACTGCTACAGAACCAGATGAACTAACTATAAAGAAAGGAGATATAATAAAAAATGTAATAAAGAAACAGGAAGGATGGTGGGAAGGTACTCTGAAAGACAAGAAGGGGTTGTTTCCTGATAATTTTGTTCGAATGTTGGATAAAGATTCATCTATAGTATTAAGAAATAAAAAAGATGTTTCAAGAATACGTCAATGTAGGGTGGTATTCTCCTACAACCAAAATCATGAAGATGAACTAAACTTGAATGTTGGAGATATTATTGATATTTTGGGTGAAGAGGAAGAAGGTTGGTGGAGAGGAACCCTTGGTGAAAAAAAAGGGGTGTTTCCCTCTAATTTTGTAGAAGAAATACTATGGCAACCCCATCCTCCTAGTAGGGATGATTTTGTAAATGTTGCTGGTGAGATTGACTCAAAAGCTCCAAAATTACCTGCCAAACCAGGTTAGTTGATCCTAATGTTTGAAATATATCACTCTGTTTATATATTGCAATAATATCAACATACATTCTTATCAAACTTATCTCTACTTTGATTTCCTTCATAAAATATTGTTCACAAATAAGACATTTATCTATAACTAGGTTGGTATTTTAGTCTATGCAAAACAGAGTGTCAATGTCTGGAAGCAATCATGGTTGTAATCTTAAATTATTATTGTATATTAATTGATTTCTCATCTTCATGTCTCACTTTTTTGTAATTATTGTAATTTACTTAGTTATAGGATATACCTAAATAGAATGTCTCATTCTCTTGGTGGTAGGTGCATAAAAATGAAGCCTCCAATAAAGCTTGAAAATATCAAAAAATCTCTCTGAACAAGATATTTGCAAAGTTCAATAGTCACACTCAACTTTGATTGTAAGTTTTTAAATGGACCCAAGTTGGCTTTCAATTCAATGTTGTCAATTACACCCTTTTATAGAAATTCAATATGCAAAGACTCCAGTGAAACTTAAATTGCAAAGATTGAGGGATCAAGTTTTTTGTTAGAAGAGCCTGCATGTTACTGACTGAGTGATTTTTTCCATTATTTGTGTATTACTGAATGATGATTTTTGTAATGTGGTCTGAAAGATAAAAGACTGATAACACCTCGGATAACACCTTGCATTACACATCACCAATATTTTGATAAAAGGTCATAATTGTGTTATTGTTCTCTGCATAATATATTAGAAGAAGGTGCACACCAGCAGACACTGGAAACCTGTAAATTTCTAGTTTGTTTCCTCCAGGTTTTCCTCTTGTTCATCATAAAATGTTAAAACCTTCAAAAAAATAATTAGGAACTGATTATTTCATCAAATTCACAGTTATCAATGGCATTTCCTTCAAAACTGGCCATCCTACATTCATTTTTATTAACAATTAGTGGTCCATGGTTTTAATCCTATCATCTGGGTGCCCCAGAAATGGTTCAGATTCATCTATAGCTTGTAGGTACTGCTATTCTGATCATTCAAGGTTAGATTTAGAAATTTAGTGGGTAGCAAGCAGGGTTGGAATAAGTCATGACTCTTATAAAAAAGTCATCAAAATCCGACTTTTTGAATTAAGTCAGACTTTTTTGAATTAATTCATTTGAAAAAAAAAATTTCATTTACCCAAAGCGAAATAGAAAAAAATAAACAAAATAACTATGTTTTTATTCCCTTCAGAAATCTTGTAGAATAACATCATAATATATCATGTCATTTTTTCAAAACAAAATTAAAAGTGATGATAGAATACAAAATAATAGATACATATAGATCCAGTATCATCCATAAAGTTCTTAACACATGGAAAAAAAGTTTATTAGTAGAATATGGAAACATTTTTTCTTGGGGATCTATTATGCATGTCTGACTACTTAAAAGTCGATTTTGACACATGTCACTTGATCACTGGTATGGCGGTAAATTCAAAAAATTACGATGGCAAAAAGTGGGGTTACATGGAAAGATGAAGTTATTTAGAAAAAATAAAAATAGCTATTTTCAGTTTTCTCAAATAATGGCTGGAAACTCCATATGTGAGCATGAAATTGAATTCTATTCAACTTGTACATCATCAACATCACTACTGTCAGAAAAAAAAAGAGAATTGTAACAAAATTGAAGAATATTCGAAAGAATATAGCTATTTCCAATTGAATGTGGAATAGCAACTTAATAAGAAATGTTTATGGATATTTTGTTATCTAACCCCACTTTTCGTCGCTTTATAGTATTATTTTTATTTATCACCATACCAGTGATCACGTGAAATGTGTCAAAATCGATTTTCAAGTTATCGGATATGCATAATGGATCGCCGAGAGAAAAAAATTCGATGCTGTGATAATGAACCTGTTCTCATATGTTATGAACTTTATGGATGATACTTGATACTGTATATATCTGTTAGCAAAAATCTCTGTCATGCTTGAAATAACAAAGTCTTGCCAAAATACGATCGAATTTTTCAGTTTAAAATAGTTAAAATCAAAGGTAATAATAGTGCAATTTGTCTCATTTTTAAAAATTTGAATGAATTCACGACTTTTTCGAAAAAAGTCAATGGAATTAATTCATGAATTAAATCACTGATTTAATTCATATGAATTGATTCATGCTAACCCTCTTAGCAAGATCACCAAATTGCATTTTTTGACAAAACATTCATTATATTACAAGATTTTTATTAACTGAAAAATAGCACTCCAAAATATCTCTTCTTTGTTCCAGTGGATATGGCATCGTGAAAAAATTGTCGAAATTTTGCGCACTTATGTCACTGAAATGTTGACCAAATGTCAATTCACTTATTCATCATCTCATTCTATTTCAACCATAGCTAACTTGGACCAAATATTGATATTTAATTTTGCTGATATTTCGTCAAGCACTCGATAGAATATATGAAAAGTATATATTTTCAAAATCAGGAAAGATAGCTCTTTCCAAATATGCGATAATATACAGGGGGTTCCATTTGAAAAAAAAAATTTTTTTCACATACCCTGTATATGAAATGATAAAATCAAGCAGATAACACATTTTCCAGAAGGAAATGACATCTCATTCAAGTAACTTTTTCCAAATTTCAAATATATTTTTTTGTTTTCGAGATATCAGCTGTTGAAGTCGAGAAATCCATAGTCAATCACCCTGTACATTCTGCACAACAGTTTTATTTCATTTTTATACATGTGAAACGTACGGAGATCAAACTATAAATGAGTATTCTGAAAACAGTTGAATTATAGTGGGTAAACTGTGTTCAATGCCAACCGACTTTACCCTCCTTCCCTTGATACATAATTCGGCGCCAATTAAGGGTATTGGGTATTGGCTATTTACCTACTGACTATTAGGTAATCATAATTATTGTTTCACTCCTTTGCTCCGTCCCGTGATCTATGGCCGCGCTTGGCGTGGTTCCCCCACCACGAGGATTATTCTTTTCCTCCTGTCTCTAGACGCTAGTACAGACACGCAAACAGTGTTGCCATTTGCTGTGAATGAAGTGTCTAGTTAACGACTTTTTTCCTGATTTTCGATCATCCGGATTTGGTTTCATCCTCGTAGCAGTCAATGACTGGGTGGACTGATAATGAATTATTGGCATTCAATTATTCCACTGTGTCCTTAGGAAGCCAAATCAATTTTTGCAACACATCACGCTTTTTTTTAATGTAAGTAATGAGTCTATGCATTGTTCGAAATTGTTAAATTTTATAGCTCATTTCAAACGTATCGTCATGACGTCATGGCCGCCATTTGGCGATACGTCGAATAAATGGTGACGTCAGTTTTTATGCTGTTTCGGTATTGGTCAGAAAAACTTTCATTTCCACTCATGAAGCAAGGTTGTCAAGTCACCAATTGGAATCAAGTTATCAAAGAGATGTTAGAGTCCTGTCGTTGAATAAAACATAATAGGAGGAACCCATGATGTTTTAGTTCATTCTTGAGTTTTTCGAGCAACTAGCTTGTCCAAATATTTCTTATTCTCCATAACAAAATATTATGTGAATGTTGGAGACCTGACAACATTGTGCTGAATGCTGAGAACCGACAAGCCAAGTTCCCAATCGTATTTCAACACATGGCCTACTTACGAAATCGTCGCGTCAGTTTTTACTGGCGGTAAATTTCTGGCCGTTTGAAAATTACCGTGGCATTATTGATGATTTCACCACCTAAAAATCGACCAAACAATTCTTGAAAAATATGAAATTGAAAGGTATTTGAGTGACTATTCCACTCTTGATCTCGAGAACCAATCAGAATCGACGGTTTCTTCTGTATTCTAGCGATATTTTTTTGTTTATTAATTTTTATCGGACTTGCTCTACCAATACAGAAGCCGAATTGACCCACACGTGACCAACAAGATTGCTTTGGATTCAAATCTGAGATAATAACCTATAGGTACCTACTTTATTTTATATACTTATGATTCGCGTTAGTGAGACATTTTGTACGAAAGGCGAGTTAATTTTATTCTGGCTGGACCGAGGGCTGGACGTTTCATGTGTAATATAAAAAGTTTGCATATTTGTTGACGGTCTGACACAACAATACTAGAATTCAAATTACTTTTTGGAGTAACCTTCTTCAATCACTCAAGTTATTGTGACTAATATAATTACCAGATGATGTAGCTCAACTGATAGGGTTGTTGCGCGAAGATACAAAGGTCGATGGTTCGAGCCCCTCGGCGACGACATCTTTTTTTAAAATTATTTCATGTCACATGCTCGTAGTTTTGATAACAATGTCATTCACGAAATTACTAGGCAACAAGCTGTCGTAACAATCACCGAATATTTCCGGCAAAATATTATCACTTGTGGTATTACATATGATAATTCTATTCAGGAAATAAAAAAAAATATAATCCACTCGCCTATTGTCACCCTCGTCATAGATTCACATGATCAAAATATCTTTAAAAAATCACTCCAACAATGTAAAAATCGCTAGATTTCTGACATGTAGCATTATTTTGAAAAAGAAATCAACGCTCAAACAATGTGAAAAATGATAGAATTTCGACACTTTGAAAACTTTAGATTCTGAGACAAAATGGCTGAGGCGGCAACGCTGCACGAATGTGCTATCAAGGCACAGGCTGCAAGTGCAAGAGGGGGAGCAGTGGTGGGTGGTACAGTTGAATAGTTGATCATCGCGTATATCTGTTGAACGTTGTGCTGATCGACTGGTTGGGGGAAATATAGTTAAAATGCATTGGAAATCCTATATGCCGACAATTTTTTTAAAGAATAAATAGGTTCATCCATTGTTGCCAAGTTCATAAAATAATTTTGTGTTTTTTCCCTTATTTGCTCAACAAGCAATTCAAAAATCTTATAGCAAACTGTTGAAAAAAAAAAAGAAAAGAAAATTCATTAAATCAATCAGATTGAGTCATTTTCAGTTAACTAGATATTTTGAATTCGAAATCAGTTACTAGGTTAATGAATGAGAGTGTGAGACACTTTGAAATTCTGATACAATCAGGAGTCAATTGGAGCAGCTCCCGCATCGCGCGGTGTCGGCGGGTTTTGAAGTTCCTTGTGAAGTGGGTGCACGTGCGGTTCAACACGCTCCAATTAACTTTGGATAAACTATACATGATGTCATTTTCTTTTTTTATAGATAGATATGAACCTCTAGATTTGACTCAAGTTAATTGGTAAAAAAGTTGTATGCTGAAACACCAAATACACTCAGTCCCACTTATTTTTTTCTGCTCTTCCAAATTTGTGAATAAAATTTTGAAATATACAGTGTGTGCGATATCATCCCGCAATAATTCGGAACCCGTCGACCGATTTTCAGAAACAAAAATTCCATAATATGCTACTCAACGAGCTCTATTCGAATAGAGAGATATGCATCCTGATTTACTATAATTTATGTGATCATAACTAGACATGTATTTGAGTTTCGATCAATACATTTTCTAGCTTATTTTGTCTTATTTATCCTAAAAAAACAGTTTTTTCTTTGTCAATCCTACCCCGATACGACATTTTTACGAACTTTGTCGGCTTATATCTCAGAAACTAAACATACAAAACTTTTCAAACTCACATATTTTTCTGATGTGCCATCCCACAACAACATAATAAAATTTCAGACAATGGGGAAGACCACTGAGAGAAGAAATCCGTGCAATCCTCTTACAATCGACGAATCATGATTTACGTTTGATGTATTATCAATATTATGAGTTGAAGTTGAAGGGAATCGAATCTATATCGTTTTGAAATCAGCATATTTCATTCGATATTTCAAACAGCCAAATATGATGGTGGAGTCGTGACGCATTAGTCCCGAACTGTAGTTATCTCTCTCTGATATCTCGTCATTCTGCAGTGTTGCAGTGTGATTGGTCAGTTCAAGGACAATAGGCGTGTTGGCAATAAGACGTCGCACCAGTCACACCAATGAATTGACAAAATTTCAAATGGCGCAGGAATTGTGTGTTTTGAAATGGACATATTCTAATTTATTATTTTCATCGTCTTAGCATGAATGACAAAATTCAAAATTAATTCGCTGGTAGTTTTTCAGTATAGAGTTCACGATAATGTCATTTTAAAAAATTAGCGGTCTCCCCCATTCGACCGAGAGCCAATTTCCCGTGTTTTCGTGCGGGGACCTTTAATCTTATCTGATTTGAGGGTATGTTATGAATGTTATGATATTATTATTTCTGGTACAAGTGGTGTGTAAGCGCCTTTTTCTGTCATGAAAGAAATCTGTAAAAAGTGTCGCTATCTTGCGGACAACTGAGAACTAATATGCCATTATTGCGGAATCTGCGGTCAAGCGTTTTGGAGAAACAAAACACTGTCTGTGATTACACCATATTCTATCCACCTTGCTTGGGATAAACTCGAACAGAATAGGTACCATGCGAATTTCCTTTCTTAACTTTGCTAATCACCTAAAACCAAAAAATCTTAGCCCTCAAGTATCCATTCTGAATTAAATTCAAGATTTCAAGATCTTTTATTTCCACAAAAGAATACAGTGGTTAATCATTAACACCATTTCCTAATATCTAAATTATATACAAGACTTTTGTAGGTGAAATGGACAGTTGTATGATATTAAAATGACTCACTAGAGTAGACTCACGCTAGGCATTGTAGCCTGTTTTGTAATGTCTAAATCAGCAAGGCATTTATACAAGTGTATGTCTCATGTAGTGAAAATCGATAGAGAAAGAGAGAAAAAAAATCTGATTAGGATTCAAATGAGATTGGATAAATTGAAACACTTGAAACTTGATGTGATAAATATCTATTTCAGTTGAAAAATATAAATTTTTTTGGGTTCTCTTTTGATGAGTTTGAGAGATGTAATATCTTTGAGATTATTTGGTAAAATGTTGAATATTTTAGGGCCGTAAAAAAGAAAAGAATTTTGGGTGACTGTTTTATTGAAGAATTCGATTTTTAACTCTAGGTTCATTTTTCATCGAGTTTCTCTTGAATTTGTCTTTGTGGAATCGATTCGTTTATGGAACATTCTTATCAAAAAGTATAACTGTATAGTGAATGAATATTCATTATTCATCATATTGGTTTCTTGATTCTTTTGATTTTCTTTTTTTCAAGATGAGTTTTAATAAAATATTTTGGGCTGTTTGTAATGGACTAATAGCAGTTTTAAAAGCTGCACCCCAAGCAGGAATACAATATTATATTATAGATTCGGCAAAAGAGGTGTAAAGTATGAGAAGATATTTTTTGGATAGTATGTCACGTAGTTCGAAGAAAGTGTGCATTAATACTCTGAGCCCTAAATAATACGATAATTTCAGTTAAAATTTTATGTGAGGCGAAATTTCCATACAAAGCTCAAAATGAAGATGAACTGTCCTTCAAAGAAGGTGATACAATAACTTTATTGAATAAAGATAGCCAAGACGCTGGATGGTGGCAAGGAGAATTGAATGGAAAAATTGGAGTTTTCCCTGATAATTTCGTAGTACTTATAACTAGTGATGGAAAAAATAGAAATAAGGAAGAAAACAAATCTTCACGGATAGTTACCGAAACAGGTGAGATGAATTAAAAAAGTCCGTTTTTCGGTAAAACTGCATTTATCATGCAATGGTTTTTTTTTCGAAAATTGTTTTTGGTACTCACTAACACGAATTCGATAATGAAAATGTGAACAAACCACTATTTATCGAGATATTCCGAGAAAAAGTTCGAAATTTCGCCTTCTTTTTCCCCTTGTGTTGCATGCATTTACAGCTACTTGCTCTTCTTATTTTGTGATTGGACACTTTATATACTCTTGATGTACTTCAATGACACATTTGTATTCGCGAGATTCACGAAGTGGGCGACATCTAGGTTACATAATACGAACTTCAAACTGGGGGGAAACAAACTGTTGTCTATGGATGAAGTGCATAGACTACATTGCATTCAGCTTGCTGCTGTAGCTGTCAAACTTGTCAATAACATAAAGTGTTGACACTGTTGGTAGTGATGATGGTTGAGTTGGTTAATTTACACATTATATCATTTTTATTAGTTTAGTGAACAGTGAACGGATGAAGAATTGGAGATAGTTCAAAAAATTCAAACTAATTATGACGAGCAAATCAATTGACACATAGAAGAACAGCTACAACATGTTTACAATACCCAGATTGTCCTGCTTTGCAGGAACAAATACAAATCCATTGTTCTAGAGGAGTTCCTCTGGACCCCAACTTCAATTTTACTTCATGTGGGGAAGATTTCATCGCCGAAGTTTGTAGACAAAGTGCAAAAATGTGCCTTTTGTTGAAGTCTTCTGCCTCACATAAAACCACATGATTAGCACGGAGAACTGCTTCTCCTTCCACTACTGGTCGGCTTTTTCCATCTAAATAGAGCAAAATATCTGCCAAAAGAACATCTATAACAGGCGTTTTCGATCGAATATTGACAATTAATGTCAAGAAATGTAAAAACTTATCCCTCTTATCAGTACACCGTACACGAGCTAATGGCACCAATGGGATTGAGTGAGGAGTGAGTTTGTTTTTCCCCAGTTTTGACGTGGCTTTGATATGGAACGATGAAAACCGAGCGCCACCTGGTAACATTGATTCCCGCAAATATAGAAAATTCAACAAGCATATCAGATGACGGCCATTTAATCAATATAATAGTCAATCCAAATACGAGATGTCTAATGTCGACAGATTGCTTTTGAATGACATTACACACGCCATTAGTTCAAATGACATTCTTCCTTCTTTTCACTAAATATGAATAAATCACAAGAAAATCATATTTCTAGTTGACTCATATAATAAAAAAAATGTGTCGTACATTGTGATATATACAGGGTGTTCCGTTGGGAAACGGGAATACTTTAACGGTGGATAGAGGTGACCAAGGTGGTTCTGAATATACCATATATGTTGGGTCTTACATGTTTCATTATCGAGATATAGGGTGTTTTATCATTTCTGGTCATTTCTTTGATGGCTCGTAACATACGAACCACCTGGTATATTTTTTTGATATTTGGTAGACGTGTTTTCCCACTGCTACCCCAGCGACTTGTATATCCGTCAGAAAAAAATTCCAGGCCCGGATTAACAAAAATTCAACATATTATTGGGTCCTATGTTAGAATTTGAAAAATCTGCTTGAATATCTGAAGACAGCACAAAATGTTGAATGGATTTGTGTACTTTTTATGTTTCCGCATGCTATTTTACTACTGAATTTCTGAAGCTGCAATGAAGGATTTGTTAATTTCAATAGCTAAAAACTGCAATTTTACATTTGATTTTATTCCATTTAATAGTCGTTGTCTGCATTTTTATGCCTGTGGAATGGGCAAGTGTATATTCACAGGTTCTTACTATATCTATGTGCCTATTTATTTGTATGAGATACATTTCCATTTCACTTACCTATTGAAAACTGATGGATCTTATTAACTTGGTATAGGTATTAGGAAAAATACAATATGGCATAATTAATTTATACCCCCAATAAAAATTTACTGCAGCGAATTTTGTTTGAATCAATGTGATTTAGGAATTCGAAATTTTTCAACTGATGGTTGGATTTCGAGTTGGATTTGTTGCAATTGTTTCCACGAATAGGTTAGTGGAATTTTTACATCAAAACAATAGAAATATTGAAATATGTGAATCTACATGGAAATATACTAAGGAAATATGTCTCAAATAAATAAATAGGTATATGAATAAAGTATAAGAACCTGTGAATATACACTGGCATAAAAATGCAGACAACGATTATTAAATGGGATAAAATGAGTTGTAAAATTGCAAAATTTTCATAATTCGATATGAAGAACTGAAAATATTACGTTTTCAGCTATTGAAATTCACAAATCCTTCATTGCAGCTTCAGAAATTCAGTAGTAAAATACCATGCGGAAACATGAAAAGTACACAAATCCATTCAACATTTAGTGCACTCTTCAGATATGTAAGCGGATTTTATAAATTCAAACATACAGGGTGTTTTTTCGAGGACTTAATATTATGTAAAATTTTTGTTAATCCGGGCCTGGAATTGTTTTCTGACGGATATACAAGTCGCTGGGGTAGCAGTGGGAAAACACGTCTACCAAATATCAAAAAAGTATACCAGGTGGTTCGTATGCCATAAGCCTTCAAAGATATGACCAAAATTGATAAAACACCCTATATCTCGATAATGAAACATGTAAGACCCAGCATACATGGTATATTCAGAACCACCTTGGTCACCTCTATCCACCGTTAAAGTATTTCAGTTTCCCAACGGAACACCCTGTATAAATTGATCAATAATGAAAAAAGAAGGGCAAATTAATTGTTCTAAATGCGATCCAGAAGACAGGCGGAGAAGAAGGTGAAATTCGTAACTTTATAGTGAAATATCTTAATAAATAATGGTTTGTTCACATTTACATTATCAAATTCGTGTCTTTCAGACAAAAACACGTTAGTACCAAAAAAATTTTTCGAACAAAAACCCATCGCATGATAAATGCAGTTTCACCCGTTTTTCTATAATCTTTGGATATTTTTCTTCAAGGTGCCATCAAACCAAGTTCCATAGCATCCCAACGAAAGTCCTTAGATTTAAAAAGCAACAAACTAGAAAAACCAGCACCCGAACCTGCCGTAGCAACCACCAAAACTACCCCACCGATTCCAGGAAAAAAACCAACATCCATCAAAAAATCCCCCTCCAGTACTGGCTCCGCCCTATTTTCTGAAATTAAGAAAAAACTGGTGGATGTTGTGGATGGTGCTACGGCAAGTAAAACTGTAACATCGAAGACTGAAGTGGAAAATCACGATGAAAACGCTTTCGATCAAGTTGAAAGGAGGCCCCTTTTGACTGACATCAGGGCTACAAGAGCAAAAGCACCAGGTCAGTTGAAATTTTATTTGGTTTTCTTTATTTCTCCAATATAAGTGAAAAATGTTGCCTTAATACATAGTCCAATAAATAAAGGGAAAAAGTTAACATTAATTACGCACTATTTTCATCTTCCGGTTGGAAGTAGCTTTTGGTACCTCATTAAACATGAGACAAAGTTTGACTGGAAAACGCGTGCGATGGCGGAGAAAATGGCCCCAAAAGACCAGAAAAATAGGTTTTCAGCCAATATCTCCTGCAATATGGCAGTTAGAGATTTTCGTTTCAGATAAAAATTGAAGTTCAGTTAATTTTCTACAAAAATGGTCCTTATCATTTTTCGGCACGAAGCGCACCTCGAATAATGAGCTTCTGTGTTGTATGCCGGAGAGCACAGTCCGTGTATTTACACATCGGCGGGGGGACACATTATTCAATAACTTTTTAAAAAATGCATATTTTCTCATGATTCAAAGTTCATGTGAAAGAGGAATTCTGCTGCTATCATACCCTGTGAATTGAGTCACGCCTGACTCTTTTGGCCATATCGGAACATGGGTCAAACTTTCTGCTCCCGGTCAATTTTGACCTCGCCAGGAATTTGTTCCTATTTTTTGTGTATTGCACTAATTTACTCAAAATTTCCTTGATTATGGGTCCTCATAAGGTCCTTTATCATCCCTGAAATTTGTATACCCTAATTTTTTTTAATTTTCATTTAATCTTTGTTTATTGAATCCCAATTTTTTGCTGTTTTTGGAGCGCGGGGAAATTTTGTGAACAACCATCAATTAAAGATTTATACATGAGCCGATTGGTTTCTATGATACATCATTTGAAAGCTAAGAAGGTCTACTTTTCGATTGTGCAATTACTTTTTTAGACGAAGTCGTCCATTTTTCAATAAAATTAGAAAAAGCGGGGTCAAGGAAAAAACGCACTTTTTTTCGGTGGTTTTTTTCTCCGTGCTCTTTATTTCTAACATTTTAACACCTCAACTAGTGTAACGGGGGAATTCCCACCTTTCCATCGATGTATATAAGTCATACCTTTGATATCCCGGGAAAAAACCAGTATATCTAAATGTACATGCTATAATTTATTACTTTCGTTCCTCCGTCATTCGCCGCGTGTGTGCTCTACGTGGCGCTCGGGTCGTCGGCTACAAACCATGCGGCCACGCAGGGTATGATAGCAGCAGAATTCCTCTTTCACATGAACTTTGAATCATGAGAAAATATGCATTTTTAACAAAGTTATTGAATAATTTGTCCCCCCGCCGGCATACAAAACAGAAGCTCATTATTCGAGGTGCGCTTCATGCCGTTTTTCTCGAAACCGGGCAAATTTTCGAGAAAAATGATAAGGACCATTTTTGTAGAAAATTAACTGATCTTCAATTTTTATCTGAAACGAAAATCTCTAACTGCCATATTTCAGGAGATATTGGCTGAAAACCTATTTTTCTGGTCTTTTGGGGCCATTTTCTCCGCCATCGCACGCGTTTTCCAGTCAAACTTTGTCTCATGTTTAATGAGGTACCAAAAGCTACTTCCAACCGGAAGATGAAAATAGTGCGTAATTAACGTTAACTTTGCCTTTTTTTCCTCCTTTATTTTATTGGACTAACAGAATAATCCTAAGGTAAAGGGCTTTCACGCTGGGTTGATAGTTGCGCAATACTTGGTAACAATGTCGTGCACATCGAAAAATACTAGTAACTTTCGAAATGGGCGAACCGCGTTATCGATTTAAGTTGGCAAAACTGTACACCGATGCCAGATTTATTTCACATTTCTAGAAGCGATTTGTTGTCATCAGCTGATCTCTGCGAATTATTCATTACTGACAATTTGTACTTTCAAGGAATTGTTTGTGATTTATTTGTGGATTATTGGTGAAATTCGATTTATTCAAAATGCCTAAACCATTGAATGCGTAGGCGCAGAAGATGGTCCATTACTTCCAATGACTGCTGTGAGAGATGTAAGTTGAATGATGTTATTAATAATGATATGTTGTGTTGTCCGAATGATCCAAATATGATTTGTATTAGTTTTTTGTAATGACATAGTGGTTTCATGAGTTTTTGTGAGTTTTCCTCATGAATTATATTGAGAATATTGAAGTAAGAACAACTCTTGTTGTCTATTTCATAATTTCCAATATAAGTAGATGCACCACTATTTATTTTTCCACGAAATAAAATCAATTGATCGAATTTCTATTTCATTTCACCAATTTATAGTAATTGAAAAACATTCAAAACGATTAGATAACCTCAAAATTTAATTCGAAGTTTTTATTATTTTCACTCAGTAAATGTGAATACTGATCAGTTTTATTAAAAAAAAAATAATTCAATACATAATTGTGTATTGGTAGAAAAATAAGTCTCTGTGATTATTTGTTGATGTTGTTATATAATAAATCATTCTTCAAGTTATTATTCTTTATAAGAATTTCATTATCATTGAATTCCATATTCAGTATATTGTTTAGGTGCATGGTTCATTAAATACAAATATTGAAGTTCATTTGTCAACTTCGAGTGCTGATTTTGAAACATAAATGGACGGCTTTTGAGTTGGTTCCAAAAAACATTATAACGTCCGACGATCGTAACACTAGACATATCCGTCGGTTGGTCATTCAGTCATTTCCTTTCAACTGGCAACACTGTATGTGTCGACATATTGACGTCACTATCAACTCAGCGTGAAAGCCCTTTATGAGTACGGTTTTACAACGTCAACGTTACGTCAGTTTTTATTTGCAGTGAATTTCTAGTCGTTTGAAAATCACCATGAATAGAATAGAATAGAATATTTATTTCACCAAGTTACAAATGTTATGTTTTTGGCAGGTCAGATACAATAGACATGTTAAAATGTAGTATATAAAAAATCACTTTAAAATGTAGTGGAATAAAAAAAAACGCTTAAAAGTAGTAGATTAAAAGTCATACATACAAATACAAAGAATCTAGTAATAAAACAAACTGGAATCAGTGACATAATATATAGTTGAATAACAATCATTCATAAGGACTCATCGAGGGGCGTCCTCAGATATTCGTAAATGGAATAAAAACAGTGACGGAGAATATGACGTTTCAATTTTGATTTGAAACAATTCAAATTCAAAACCTTGAGCTCCTGGGGCAAAACATCATAAAGTTTGATATCGAGTGAATTATTCTGAGATTTGTTCAGTCTGTAACGTAATGGCCTCAAATTATTTGCATAACGAGTATGGTAATTATGAAAATCGGAGTTGGTAGAAAACGAATTCCTGTTTTTGTGTATTTCAATAACTGTAGCATATATGAATAAGGATGGTATAGGCATAATAAACAGTTCCTTGAATATTTGTTGACAGTGATCTCTGTAACCAGCACCAACGATAATTCTGATAGCTCTTTTTTGCATTTTGAAAACCTTCATAGCGTAAGAAGAGTTTCCCCATAAGAGTATGCTGTAATTTATGTGAGAATGAAAAAATGAAAAATAACATGTTCGAACAGTATTGAAGCATAATTGGTTTTTCAAATTACGCAAGAGATATATCGAACTTGACAGTTTATGATATAGCTGATCAACATGAGATGACCAAGTTAGTTTGTCGTCTATTACAACTCCAAGAAGTTTAACAGTTTTTCCATTGCCTGGATTTCTAGTCGAAAAAGACAATTCCTGTGTCTTATCATTATTCAATTTCAAATTGTTGGCACTAAACCACTCCTGTGCTCTACAGAAAGAATCTGCCAAACTGAGAGAGAGACTGTCTGCATCAATTCCAGTATTGAGCAAAGTTGTGTCATCCGCATAAGCTACACATTTATTTGGAAACAAAGAGTGAAACAGATCGTTTACATAAACGATGAATAATGATGGGCCCAAAACAGATCCCTGAGGTACCCCGTGTAGAATATTGGAAAAATCTGAATGGGATTCATTAATATATACTGCTTGCTTTCTGTTGTGGAGGTAAGATTGAAACAGATCGAGTGGTATGCCTCTGACACCATAAAAACGTAACTTCTCAATAAGAACCTCGTGTGAGACACAATCGAAGGCCCTCGATAGATCGCTTAGAGTAATAGATACATCCATGCCACCCTCAATGGCAATATTGATGATTTTAGCACCTTGAAATCGACCGAAAAGACCAAAATAAATATGGAATTGAGAAGTATTTGGGTAATGATCCTATTCAAAAAATGAAAAATAGACAGGATGTCCCGAAAAACTGAAGATGATATTTCTTGGGTATTTCCGAAACTCCATGTGATGAAAAGATGCAATTTGGTACAAGAACTAAACTTTCCATGCCCAATGCAGTGAAAATAAAATAATTTCAAAATTTCAATCAGGAGTGTATAATACAGGGTGGGACTACATTAAATATTGCTCAAAAATTTTTGTATGCATATTTTTCGAGAATTCAATCTTGGATTATGAAATTTCACATCTCTTTACAGAAAAAAGGTACTCTTGTTCCGTGACGATCAGATGCATTATTATCAAGTAAAAGCAATTTAAAAATATTGTTACATCTCAGATATTATGCATAACATTGCAATGAGGCGTAGTGGAAATGGAAAAAAATGCACAGAAATAATTGAAGTGGTTTTTTATCATCATTCTCCTATTTTTCGTGCTTTCATGGATTGTTTGGTAAAAATAGTGTATTTGATTTTTTTATAGCCACTATGATTATGAGAATTGACAACGTTATGCATAAGATGTGAGTGCATCAATATTTTTAAATCGATTTCACTCAAAAATGATGCATCTGATCGATGCGGAACAGATACACCTTTTTTTGTGAAACGGTGTGGACTTTCACAATCCGAGATTGAATTGTCAAAAAATATGCATATGAAAAAGTTTGAGTAATATTGAATGTAGTCCCACCCTGTATTATACACTCCTGAATGAAACTTTGAAATGCTTTTATGTTCACCGCGTTGGGCATGGAGAGTTTAGTTCGTGTATCAAATTGCATTA